GTTGAAGAGCAAAGATGTCAGCTTGAGGACTAAGGTGCACCTGACCCAAGCCATGGTATTTTCAGTAACCTCATATGTATGCAAAAGCTGGACAGTGAATAAGGAAGATCATAGAAGAATTGATGCCTTTGAATTGTGGTGTTGGAGAAGAATACTAAAAGTGCCATTGGGCTGATAAAAGAACCAATAGATCTGTTTTGGAAGAAGTGCAGCCAGAGTGCTCCTTTGAGACCAAGATGGCTAAACTTCGTCTCTCATACTTAGGACATATTGTCAGGAGGGAACAGTCGTTGGGGAAGGATATCATGCTTGATAAGACGGAAGGTCAGAGAAAAAGAGGAAGACCCCCAATGAGATGGATTGGCCAGGTGGCAGCATTGATGGACTCAAGTGCGGCAGTGGTCGTGAGGTTGGCCCAGGATCGGACATTGTTTCATTCTTCTGTGCGTGGGGTCGCTATGAGTTGGTTCTGACTCGATGGCACCTGACAACAACAATATAAATGGAGAAAAGATCGAAGTTGACAAAGACTTCGTTTTGCTTGGATCAACCATAGACGCTCATGGAAGCAGCAGTCAAGAAATCAAACGATGCACTTAATTTGCTGAAACTGCTGCACAAGACCTCTTTAAAGTGTTGAAGAGCAAAGATGTCAGTTTGAAGACTAAGGTGTGCCTGACCCAAGCCATTGTGTTTTCAATAACCTCAGAGCATGAGAAAGTTTCCTCTTCTTTCTTCTTCTAGTTGAGCTCTGATAATGTAGTCATTGAAGCCAGAGCAAGTGGGTATTATCTGCAAGTGTGGGTGTTCTTATCAGCTGGATATGTCACTCTCCACTCTAGTTGTCTGTGGCTATGTCACTGACTCTGGGCCCAAGAGTCCCCAGGTATTGCCACACTGCTGGCCAACAAGGTCTCCACCTGGGGTCACAGGAGTCTTTTGAACATGGTAGGGCTTAGCTCGCAGCTTCATTGCTGTTTTTCATTCACGTCCCCTTATCGGTGACGAACATGGTCACCAATCAGAGTGCTTGTCTGCTCACAAGTAAACATCTTTCGGATATTCTCTGCTTTCAGCCAAGATCTACCCAATGTCAGCAATGATACCCCTTGTTCCACATCCTTGTCCAAATCTGGGTTGAATTTCTGGAAGTTCTCTATAGATGTACTGTTGCAACTGTTTTTAGAATTACCTTAATCAAAATTTTACTTGCATGTGATATTAATGATATTGTTCGATGATATCCACATTCTATTATGTTGCCTACCTTTAGGATGAGCACAAATATGGATCTCTCAACTGGTTGGCCAGGTCGCTATCTTCCAAATTTCTTGGAATAGATGACTGAGTGCCTAAACTGCTGCTGCATCAGTTTGTTGAAAGATTTCAATTTATATTCAGTCAATTCCTGGTGCCTTGTGTGGATCATGAGATGCTATGGACCACTTTGTGGAGAATGAGTATTCTGGAACATTTAATTGTGTGCTCATAAGTAACCTGTACATGGACCAAGAGGCAGTTGTTCGAACAGAATAAGGGAACACTGAACTGTTTAAAATTAGGAAAGGTGTGCAAAGACCTGGAATTAGAAAACTGAAAGAGAAGAGCATGCTCAGCTGAAAGAACATTTCTCAACCTGAAAAAAATGAAGAAAAAGTTCAAGTCTCAAGTTGAAATGTTAGAAAATTCTATGGGCAAAATGGAATCCTGGTGTCGCACCATGGGTTAATGCACTGGACTACAAGGTCAGAACCTGTGCTTATATAGAACCTGTACATAGATCAAGAGGCTTGTTCAAACGGAACAAAGGAACAGATACTGTGTGGTTTAAAATTAGGAAAAGAATGGGTCAGTATGGCTTCCTTTCACCACATTTATTTAATCTGTATACTAAGCAAATAATTTGAGAAATTGGCTCTATAAAGAATATTACATCAGGATCCAAGGAAGACTCATTAACAACCTAAGACATGCAAATGACACAGCCTTGCTTGCTGAAAGTTAAGAGGACTTGAAGCACTTATTGAGAAGATCAAAGACTTCAGTCTTCAGAATGGATAATTCTCAACATTGAAAGTTACATATATATATCCTCAATAAATAATATGATAAATGGAGACAAGATTGAAGTTGTCATTGATTTCATTTTACTTGTATCCACAATCAGTATCCATGGAAGCAACAGTGAAGAGATCAAAATGACATATTACATTGGGGAAATCTTCTGTTGAAAAACCAAAACTCATAAGGTATTCAAAAGTAAAAATGTTACTTTGAGAACCAGAGTTCCTGACCCAAGTCATAGTATTTTCAATAGTCTCATTTGCATGTGAAAGCTGGACAATAAATAAGGAAGACCAATAAAGAATCGATGCCTTTGAATTATAATGTTGGCAAAGAATATTGAATATAACATGGAATGTCAAAGAATGAACAAATCTATCTTGGAAGAAGTACAACCAGAACGTTCCTTAAAAGCAAAGATGGTAAGACTTCATCTTTTGGATTGACATATTATCAGAAGGGAACAGTTCCTGAAGAAGGCTGTCAGGCTGTCGGGCTGGTTAAGTTGGGGTTAGGGGCAAAGACCCCTCAGTGAGAAGGATCAGCACTATGGCTAAACCAATGGGCTCAAACATGGTAAATGTGGCAACAGCTGTGAGGATGGTGCAGGACCTGGCAGGGCTTTGTTTGGTTGTGCATAGTATGGCTGAGTCAGAATCAATTCAAAGGCACCTCATAACAACAAAAAGGAAGAGTGGAAATCAGGAGCATGGAGGAATATTACCTTGTGGAATCCTATAGGTGGTTTCTCCAGGCTTCCTGAGCTGGCGCAATATACAATCACTATGAATATTGATTGTCATGCCCAAAATAAATAAGACAATACCTTGGCAAAAAAGAGAAGGAGAAGTTAAAAATGTATCCCAATTTTAGTGTTTTTCCCATGCCCAATATTTTTTCTATAAATGAAAAGAGGTGAGTTTAATTTCTAATTCAAAGAATAGTGCGAAGATGTGGTTAAAACAAAGAAGATGAAGGGGGAAAGAAAACATTAGGAAAAGGTCTGGTCCCAAGATTGGGTCTGGGGGTGGGGGGCGTGCTGCTTCATAGACCAGAGGCTTAAGTTACACATTGAGGTTTCATAGGCAATCATTACAAATTTGTACTTTATTCTCACTGAGAGTAATGGAAATCCACTATAGAATCTTAAGATGGACATGACATGAAATATTTTTTTCTAATTTCTCGGGCTTCCATGTAGCAAAAAGACTGGGATAGGGGTGGGATAGAGGGAAAAAGGAATCATTTACTATTGCAGCAGTGTGGGAAGAGCCTACGATGGATGAGTTACTTAGAATGTGGGGTGGGATGCAGCCTGGGGAGGAGGTGGGAAAAGGCGAGATATACTTACCCAAGCTAAATCGCAAATCTGTGTACCACTTATAGGAGTATTCCCCACAGTAAATCAGATAGTAGCCTTGTAGGAATCCATTTCCAAAGCAGAAAATAAAGCCTTTGAAAAGGAATACAAGTGGCAAAGGCCTCCCTCTAGTGAGCAATGAGTAAATGAATGTCCTGGAATAGATGAGGAGAAAGGTTAGGATCCATTTTTTTTTTTTTTTCAAAGTTGAACAGTGAAGGGAAAAGGTTTTAAACAAATAACACTTTTTTTTTAACCTACTTAAATCCATTATTAGGAGTTTTGATAGCATAGTGGGTTATGAGTTGGGCTACTAACCTAAAGGTCATCATTTCTAATCTATTCTATCAGCCGCTTTGTGGGAGAAAGATGAGTCTTTCTGCTCCCCTAGGGATTTACAGCCTTGAAAACTATACAGGGTGGCTCTGAGTCAAAACTGACTCCACAGAACTTAACTACCACCAAACCATTTTTTTTTTTTTAATGTTTTATTGTGTATTGTGTGATAGTCTACATGGGGGAACATTAGTTTTACATTCATTCCATCATATATCGTCTCATTGCCATAGTTACCATCCCGTCCATGCAAAGGATATACCCTACAATCCCGGCCCCCCTCCCCTCATGGTCCTCAAAACACATCCCTTCTCCCTCTCTGGATCCCTAGTCCCCAGGCACGCCATCTCTTCGCGACGTCCTCTCTCTTCACGTCATCCTCTCTGTCTCAGTCTCTGTCCTCACTGCTCCTCTGGGTGGGGTCCCACTCTCTGCTCTTCTCCACTGATGGTCCCAGGGCTCTCCGATCCTAGACTGAAAGGTTAATCACTCCCCTCCTTGCTATAAAATGTCCACCTTTACGTTACCAGTCCTCACAATCAGTCCTGGTGACAGTCATTCACCCTTGCATCCCAAGTGACCATCTGCATTTCTTTTCATCTGCCTCTCCCAGACAGGTGGGACACTACTCACTGAAGACTCCACCATCCTCCCCACCCTGTGGATCTAGGTTCCCTGTTGAAAGCTTTGTATCCCTTCTCCCATTTTTGGTTAGTCAATGTTCAAGTTGCCCATCCCTATCTACTCTTTGTGTGGAGGGGGTGGGAATAATTCTTGGAGCAGGGATTTGTTTTCTCTTTTGAGCTACTGCATTTATACATGGATGTCCAGTTTATCAGACTGTTTCAGATGACTTTTTTTTTTCCTCTTCTTTCTTCTTCGGATTGAGCTTTGTACGTCCCATCATTGGAGCCATGGCAAGTGGGTATCATCTGCCAGTGTGGGTGTTCCTGCGTCTGTCCGCCCTCTTCTTATCAGTTGGTCGCTTCAGTCTCCTCTCTAGTCCTCTATGGTTGTGTCACTGACTCTGAGCCCATGAGTCCCCAGGTCTTGCCTCACTGCTGGCCGACGAGGTCTCTACCTGGGCTCACTATAGTCTGCTAAACGATGCAGGGCTTAGCTCGCTGCTTCTTCGATGTTCTTCAGTCACTTCTCTTTATGGGTGACGTGTGTGGTCGCCAATCAGAATGCATTTTCCCACTGCGTCTTAGTCTTGGAGGAGGATTTGCGCTGAGAGGACCCAATTGCTTGCCTTGATATCTCCTGGGCAGACAGCTAGTTTTTTCTTATGGTAACAGTCGGACTGCCCTTGTTGGTTTGTATTTTTCCTGTAGGTACTTCTTTCAAGAAGTGTCTTCTGGTTTTCTGACTACTCCAGGCTGGTCTGCTTGTCCTTTCAAGAGGAAAGTTTCCCTTCTCTGATGGTCTGGATGAGATTCAGGCTTCCTTCTATAGTTTTATGCAATGCAGAGGCTCCTCATGAGACCTCCTTCACTAGATACATTGTAGTCCCATTTTAGGTATTCCAATTAGTTATAGGCAGAAGACAGACTTACAAGCTTTCTATGGTGATATTTCTGGCTATTCCTTTCACTCTCCCTCCAGTGACTGTTTTATATTATAATGCATGGAAAACCAAGGTTCAAAAGTCAGCCAAGTATCTCAACGTTATTCCCCACTTTTCCCCATTCCAACCCTGTCCCAGTATCTGGATCCCAGAGCCCTGTTGTTCCAAGGCTGTGCCTAGATCCGTTTTTACCTCTGTCTCATTTAGCTCATTCAGACCTGCCTAATTGTTCTCCCGTCTGTCTTGTTCTTCCATTCCTCTCTCCCTACTTGTATATCGCCCCCCTCCTCAATACCCAGATTATCCTATGTCTATTCCCTGCCCTGTGCTCTGCCTTCTCCTGCCCCCCCCCCCTTATTCCTACCCCTACGTCCTAGCAAGCTGCTAGGAATCCATTATGGATTCTTTACCAAACCTATTTTTAAAAACCATTTACCCTTAAATCTGTGGAATGACGGAACACTGGCTCTAGAGCAAGCATTTATGCTATTATGCTGTTCTTCATTGTTGTTTCTGTTAAGTCCGCTGAGTCAGTTCCTACCCATAGCAACCCTGCATAGGGTTTCCAAGGAGTGGCTGGTGAGTTTGAACCGCCAACCCAGCGGTTCAAACCAACCTTGAAGTCCAATGCATTAACCCACAGAGCCACACCAGGGTTCATCATTCATAGTAGCCATTATTAATTTAACTTATTTTATCCTCACAGTAGCCTCAAGACATAAATACCAAGCCCACTGAGTAGTTAATAAATACAGTGATATGAGCACTGGATTGGAAATTGTTGCTGTTATCAAGTGTTGTCAAGTTGGTTCCAACTTATAGCAACTCTGGAGTTTCCAAGGACCAGCTGGTGAGTTTGAACCAATTGGAATTTCTGGGAGTTTATGGCAACTCTGTCTGTAACATTTTAAAGAACTGATAGTTTTCCAAAGGGATCACATTTGCTCATTTTCACAAGAAAAAAATCCTAAAAGGATAAAGAAGGGCAGAGGGTTGAAGACTGGCATAGGAGTGAATAATCACTGAATTTCCCTTTTTTAAATAAAATTGTGAAATTTGGACATGTAAATATTTAAATACAATTATTTCACAATGATTAAATAGTTAGTGCCTAAGTGTAATCGACTCAGTTCCTACTTATAGTGACCTCTCTATAAGATTTCCGAAAAGTAGGTGGTAGGGTTTGAATTGCCAACCTTGTGGTTAGCAGTCCAGTGTTTATCCTACAACAACACACCAGGATGCCTATACATTCTTGGTGGTGGTGTTGTTAAGTGCTGTGGAGTTGGTCCCAACTCATAAAGACCTGGTATAGAATTTCCAAGGAGCAAATGGTTGAGTGTGAACCGCTGACCTTGAGACAGCACCACACCAGGTTTCCTTAGTGAGATATATGTTAAGATCAAAAAGAAAGGCAAGGGAATAATAAAATGTTCATTTATTTCATATTTAGTAGAGAACCAATAGATCTGTTTTGGAAGAAGTGCAGCCAGAGTGTTCCTTGGAGGCCAGGATGGCTTGCTTCGTCTCTCCTACTTTGGACATATTGTCCGGAGGAAACAATCGTTGGAGAAGGATGTCATGCTGGGTAAGGTGGAGGGTCAGAGAAAAAGAGGAAGACCCCCAACGAGATGGATCAGTCAGGTGGCATCATTGATGGACTCAAGTGTGGCAGCGGTAGTGAGGTTGGCCCAGGATCGGACATTGTTTCGTTCTGCTGTGCATGGGGTCGCTATGAGTCGGTTCCGACTCGATGGCACCTGACAACAACAACAACAACAACAGTGATACTGGTATTGTAATTTGTAAATTATATATTTATTGTCAGAGGAAATAAAAAGATAAATTATTGTGACTAGGAATATTTTCAGTGTAAAAGAAGATAAACAAATATAAACATCAAAGAAAAAGCTGAAATGTTAAGTTTGTATAGAATGTTATCAATATAAACTCATTCATTTTCAATCTACCCACTCAGAGACCTAAGAGTAATGACAGCAATAAGAACACTAAGCCTAATTTGGAAATGCAATGGCTGCAAAAAGTTTGTGGAAAAATTCCATTATCTTTCCATTTTACTTTTCACAATTTTTTTGAAGCCCTCTGTTACTATCCTCCCAACAGAAGCAGGACACCTTAGAGAAATACCTAATTCAAGATCAGACAGAACTAGTACAACTAGAGTCAGAATTAGTTTATTATGTCTGAAATCAAGGGACTAATTGACAATTAAGGGAGGGAAGGGCCTGTCAAAATTACATAGGTGCCAAATTGAAAGGAATTCCATTGGACAAATCTGAGACAAAATGGACATCAAAAAGAATAATCAGCATAGTTTATCATAAACACTAAGTTAATAAAAATCCAAGAGTCCACAATGATATATTTTTAAATAAACAAGTAAAAGCATTGGCAACCCTTGGAGATGACTACTATATCTAATATTTTTTATTATAACTAAATTATAAAATATAACTAAAGAGATAATTAAGCCGTTATTTTACCTTCCTAATGTGGTATTGTGCGTTAATGTGCTGGACTGCAAAGTTAGCTTGGACTACAAGGTTGGCAGTTAAAGCTCACCAGCTGCTCCTTAGAAACACTATACAGGGTCGCTATGTATCTGAAACAGCTTGACAGCACTTAATAACAACAACATCCTCTCAAAGGAAGCTATAGAAACGTTTCCATCTTTAACTGATGAGTGAAAGCTTTTCTTTTCAGAGTATAATAACCAGAAAATAGAGGTTATTGTTGTTGGGTACCATTGAGTCAGTTCCAATCCATAGCCATACACAACAGAACAAAACTGCCAAGCCCTGCGTCATCCTCACAACTGTTGTTACATTTGAGCCTATTGCTGCTGTCACTGTATCAATCCATTTCCTTGATGGGACTTCCTATTTTTTGGTGACCCTCCACTTTACCAAGCATGATGTGCTTCTTCAGAGACTGGTCCCTCCTAATAACATGCCCAAAGCATGAGAGAAAAAGTCTTGCCATCCTGGTTTCTAAGGAGCATTATGATTATACTTTTCCCCATGCAGGTATGTTTGTTCTGGCAGTTTATGGTATCTTTTGCATTCTTCTCCACCACTGTAACTCAAAGGCATCAATTCTTATACTGTCTTCCTTATTCTTTGTCCCACTTTTGCCAGCATATAAAGCTATTAAAAATACCGTGACTTAGGTCAGATGCACCTTAATCCTCAAACTGATCTCTTTCCTCCTGAACAGAGGTCTTTTGCAGTA